AAATTCTGCATCGAATAGTATAGAAAACATCTTTCAGATGTCGTGAAATAACGTAAAAATTAGGCAAATACTAAAAGTGTGCTAAACTTTTTCCCTACTTTTTGCTACAGTGTTTAGTATTCTGACTATAACATTGTCATTACTCAATGAAAATCAAAAAGTTTTTTTACCAAAACGCTCAGCGAAAAAAGCTCTACGAAATTAGATAAAAGAGAAAATTTTTAGAACATCCTTATTATTCGTTTATGTGTAAAAATAAAAAAGTGCATGCTTTTTTGAGCCCTGACTGTATGCATTGATAGAGTCCTCTTAGTAACGAATATCGTAATGTCTATATTTTAATTTGATAGATTGATCGGAATATAACTTTTCTAACTGCGTTCTCAGAAAAACAAATTCCAGCTAACGGCGAATATATTCAAGAAAAAAAATATGCTAATCTCTCATAGAAGGGAACATTTGTTTTTGCAAATTATAGATATGTCGATAATCGATATTTAAAGGGTCTTCGCATCGAATTTTGAAGTACGTTTTATTATGTCCCTTTGTACATTTTTTGCAGTATGTAATGAAATAAACCACATGATTAAAAGATAAGATGTCGACAATTCGAAGTTGAAGTAAAGTTTCTTTTTCGCCATTTTCATACATAGTTTAATAAAGCGTAAGCTGCTGATCACAAAAGTGCTTAGCGTTTATGAACGCTCTTTTCATGTTAGAGAGAAACAACTCGGAAGGTGTGATTTTTCTTAAACAACATATTTCTTTCTAAATGTGCAAAATTTCCTGCTTCTCTCGTTGACAGCTTCTAAAAGTAGTATTTTCAGATTCAGCGTTAAAAACTGAGTAGTGGCAAGATGTTAAATCTATTTAAAACCTAAAAGCGTTTAGATGGTAGTGTCTCGGCTTTCGCCTATTGTAATGCCTATAGGTCGTTTTCGTAGACCTATCTAGTATGTTTGGTTAAGCGATGAGATCAAGTATTGTACCCCGTTCAATTCATTTTAACACCAGTCACCAAAGTACGCATCGCTTTTCTTTTTAGTTTGTTATTTTGCTGAGGAATCGTATTTACTTTAGTACCGTAGTCTTTTAAGTCTGTGTTCAGTGATTTTCGAATTCAAATTTAAGTTTTACCAGAAGAAAAAATACAAGTTCAAGAGCAGCACAAACAACTGAGTTAAATGAAGTATTTTTCAGGTTAATATGACTGTTAAATTGATTGAAAAAATACTTTGACTCAGTTATTCGTGCTGATTCCGAATCTGTATTTTTTTCCTGATACTAGACTAACCTCAATTCGAAAATGGATGAAAGCCGGCTATAAGAGACTTAAAGCTTCAATTAACTACAATATCTCAGCAAAAGAATACACTAAAAAGGAAAGTGATGCGTACTTTGGTGGCTGGTGTTATAACGAATCGGACGAAGTACAATGCATGACCTAATCCGCTTAACCAAATATACTAGATAGGTCCAGAAAAGCGACCTTTAGCAATTGCAATAGGCGAAATCCGTGATGCTACCACCTAAAAGTTTTTTTTGGGTTATAAATCGATTTAACATGTTACTGATACTCAGTTTTTAATGCTGAGTCTGAAAATAATGCTTCCACAAGGTAACGAAAAGAGCGCCTGTTAACGTTAAGAACTTTTTGTGATTAGCAACTGACGCTCTATCAAACTGTATAAAGAAAATGAAAAATAATTTTGTTTGAAGTTCGAATTATCTGCACCTGACAACGAAGAAAAAAATTAAGGTCGCAGGAAAGCAAGGCGAGGAATATAATATTCTACCTATTTCGACTTCTAATTCTTGCTAGGTTATCAAGTCACATACAAATGTCATATGTTCTAGAAGACCGATGTTTACATTCACAAAATATATTTTCAAAAGATTAATTGCAAGAGAACGTTAGAAAGAAAATTGTCCTCATTTCGTTTACTCGAAATGAGTTGAAACTATTTTAATTATAAATTTAAATATAATTAAAAAGATAACATGTATCAAGTTTCGTTCAAATCTAGTATTTGTAATTCATTCCTATTTTTCTTTCAACTTGGTTTATTTTTTAACACTTTACTAACTTCAGGATATATATTTAAGATAAGAGATATCGGACTGAGATACGAGAAAATCAGATTTTTTTTCAAAAAGCATTCAAAACCTCTAGGAAAACACTCAAATTGTTTCTTGTTTGAAACGAAATTACAGCGCTGTTCTATTTTGAATACTTCAAGCATTCGCAACAGCAGTTAGCGATGATCGAGTGGTCAAGCTGTTAGATCGGCCATTATTCATCTTCTTACACATGTTTTACATGATTTGATTATCTTAACGACAATGAATTTTTTTTTCAAGCCTTTTCTTTCCAAATGAATTAGAATATCAAAACACACCCATCACATAAACCGGAGCTATACCATAGGCTTATTATGTCATTTTAATGAAATTCTTGTGCTCAAATCAAATGTATGATGAATATTTAAACATAATTTTAATCCCAAGTTCTTGCAACTAAAATAAATTAATCAAAAACTAGAATTTTCAATGATATTTATTTATTTAGAACATAGTTTTCTATTGATTACAAATAATTTTTTTTTGTTGTCGTTCGATTTCTTATTTATTGAGTCCATAGAAATGTAAAATGAATATTTATGATTACAAGAGATTGACATGTACTTGTAAATATAAGCCTTCCTCTTTTGAAACATGGAGAAATCAGCTAGTCTTGCATTTTTCATAATTATTCGTCTATTGCAATTTGTCATGCAATTCTTCTCACTTCGTTGCCATAAGAATAGCAAACTCTATTCAGTTTCGACATGTAAATGCAACATATGGTATATGACTTAATAAAAATTTGATTATACATAAAATAAACTTTCCAACGTCTATTCAAGCTACGCACGTGGCCTATTGATTAATTGAAACAACATGACATAGAAGAAAAAAGGTACAAGTACAATCGTAACTAGTCATGTCTCCTCTTATTATGACTAAACAGAACAGAAAAAAAAAGCAAAACTCACATATACCTACTGCTGTCAACAAATACGGTCTACTCATCCATGAAGCCATTTCATTTCCTTTTTTTTAACATACCTTTTAGTTGATATCAGACTGCTTCTAATGGTAAAAAATGTATATTTATTCGAATTTAATCATTATTTTATCTTTTTTTCTAGTTTAAAGTTCAATTGCATTTTCTTATTATATCAATAGTATTTTATGGCAATGATGCAATTGAATATCGTTACCATAATTATTCTGAAATGACATCTATTCTTCAAGATTTAGCTTCTCGATATCCAACAAAAGCATCATTAGTTGAAATAGGAAAATCACAAAAAGGTATATAAATTAAAATTAAATAATACATATTTATTTTTAACACTTAGGCAGATCTTTATGGGCTATGGCACTTAGTGCATATGCTCCTAATCAACATATATTACTTCGACCGGAAGTTAAATATATCGGAAATATGCATGGAAATGAAGTTGTTGGATTAGAAGTATTATTACATTTAATCGAGTATCTTTTAACATCAAATAATATACAAGTTTATCAATTAATGAATCAATCTCGAATATGGATAATGCCATCTATGAATCCAGATGGTTTAGAAAAATCAATATATGGTGATTGTTCATCAACTACTGGAAGGTTATTAGAGAAAAAAATAATAACAATAAAAATCCAGTTATTTTTTTAAATTTTTTATTTAAAATTATTTTAGATATACATTGAATAATATTGATTTAAATCGAAATTTTCCAGATTATTATGGTGCTGCAGTTCAATCATCGATTCGAGCACAAGAAACAAGTGCAATTATGTCTTGGCTTGCTAATGTTTCGTTTGTTCTTTCAGCTAATTTTCATGGAGGGTCATTTGTTGTAAATACACCATTGGATCGTTATTGTAAAATATTTGTTCGAATTAATATTTAAACCAAACGTTTTATTTGGTTTTATTGTTTAGATGTTGGAAAAAATTCAATTAGTGATGA